CAGGATGAGAATCCTGCAATAATAAAAGTTTAGAAGTATAAAAACATGTCATCCCCTGTGCTTCCTGTAACATGAAGAAGGGTGTCCAGGAGAAGAGCCAGGCAGATGAGCTATGAAGGGTACTGTGGACTTGTAAGTAGATAAGAGGAGCCAGGAGAAGTGGGGTGAGCCAGGCAGTTACCTAGGCCTCCAGGCTATGCTGTGTGTAGACAGGAAGTAGCAAAGCAGACCTACCTCAGGAGGAAAGACCTCTGAATCCAGCTTGTGCTTCCCCTACAGGCGGTGGGCATCCAGAAACTGATTAAGCAAGGGGCAGATGGAATCAAAGCCTTTTTCTACCACGTAACGAGTCTAAAGGATAATCCTGGGAATTTGCCATTCCATGGGGCTCATGATTTGCTGAGCTGAAGCTTGGAATGGCCAGAGGAGGACAGCTAGTTGAATCCCAGCATGGCAGAGAGCTGCCTGAATGGAACAGGGACCGCTGGATTGTTGAGCAACAACAAACAAGAAGCCAGGGCTGGAGAAGCAGACCAGGCTCACTGACTGGTCTTGGTTACTAAAGTAGCTGAGTCTGAAAACTGGCTGACTTCTCTACAGAAGTCTACAGCTATAAGGATTTTATCACAGGATAAACTGAGCTATACCTTAAGGAATACACAATGATTTAAAAAGACCAACCTGAATAAACACTGTTTACTCAACAGGAGACTGACAGGAAGCAATTCTTGCTAGGGTACCATCTAAACCAAATAATTGTTTGAGTCACTCAAGGGCTGATTTACTACAGATGATCCCAAAGAAATATACAACTCTTCTCTTCAATAACTTTCTAATCATATTAGGGATATAAAACATAAAAAATGAGTACAAGAAAAATACAAAAAGATGCTTATTTAATTCTAATTCTAAAACAATTCAAGTAACTGGGAAGGAGAAAAAGTGAAGATCAATGTTAATTGGAGCTAATATAATCTAGCCTAACTGTTCTCCAGTCTTCTCCTAGGGCTGCCTTAGTCTCAGTACAGTACTACAGGCCATCAATTACTAGTGCCAGGGACATCAGGGTTTGTATTATGGGGAGAGAAAACATATGACATCCATGAGGAAGCAGGACCAAGACAACCACATCAGCAGTATTGGGAGTCATTTTCTATTGGGTGCTTACGTGGCCTTGAGGGAAAACCAGGAAGGCTGGCAAGGACCCACAGAGAACCATGGAGAAGGCCAGAAATACAGCCCAATGACAAAATGACAAACTAGAGTTCCAAAGCTGGTAAGGAAATTTAGGTAAAAACCAATATTCCCATATAAGTAAAACCAAACCAAACATCTGTTCATTTCCCTGCCCTTGCCTATCCTCTTACTTCCATATCCAGGAATAAACTAGCTCAGACAAATTGATAATCATGTAGATACAACCATATGCAGGACAGTCTCCTCTAGACAGCGAAGAATTCCTGTGGGTCAAGTGCTAACAGAGGCTCACAGAGGGCTGCACCTTTGCTGCATCTCTTTAAGTCATGGCTAACAGTAAGCGATTGCATTTCAAACCAGGGGAAGAAAGAACAGGAGGGGACAGGCTTCCTCCACTATAAGACCCCTTGGTGAAGGGGTGTGGGGGTGTATAAGAGTGATCTTCTAAGAATATACCCTCAGTGACCTTAGAACTTCCCATCAGGCCCTACCTCTGGAAGGTTCTACCACCCTGGACTAAGCCTCCAATAACAAAGGACCCTTGGGTGACACTCAAACCACAGATCTAATAGAACTACTGCAAAAAAAAAAAAAAAAAAAAAAAAAAAAAAAAAAAAAAAAAAAAAAAATCCAAGCTCACCTCAGACTTTTGTTTGAGGTATCAAATCGTTCACAATCCAAATTCTTACTGGGTCTCCACAGCACATGACCTAAACAGGGTTCTCTCTCTCTCTCTCTCTCTCTCTCTCTCTCTCTCTCTCCATGGTAGTATGATACCCAAGTATTCTATTCTCTTAGACAACCAGTCTTTGCAAAACAAACTTTAAGGTATATATTTTAAACTTTGTTGAAAGAATTACACTGAATTATTATCCAACTATAAGTTCTTATAAGTATAAGGTAGTATTGATAATCCTTACAAAAGAGTAGAGTCTGAAGACTTTCATTTAGGAAGCCAGTTCTTTCAATCCTTATGAAGAAAGGTAGAGTTCTTTAGAATCTCCCACTTAAGCATGTCACAAATTATTACCAAAAAAAAAAAAAAAGAGATACTAGTAGCTAATTCTATTGATTATGCTCATGATTTTATAGAAGGTAAAACTTGTTGTTAATCAGTTCTCCATTATGTGGTCTGTTTCTGAAGTCAGTATGAGAAATGCAGTATTAGCACTCCTGGAAGGTCCACAGCTGTGCTTCAGGGATGGCTTTTCCAGTACTCTTGATAAGTGGTTGGAACTCACACTCATTTCTCACATTTTCACGCAGCAATGTGTCAATTGGACAAAATATGCCAAAAAAAAGAAATTACAGAAGAATATTACTTTCTGTATGAGGAGATTTATTCGAAAGGGCCTACAATAATATTAAAGATTGAAACAAATTATTTATTCTTACCTTTCGTTATTTAAAATAAAACAGTATAAAGACTTTTCCCATTTGCAGAAGAGCTCCCTCACCATCCTATCATTTCAAACCCACATGTAAGATGAAGTTAAACAGAAATTAATGTGAAACACACACATATGTCATACAATGTCCATTTTCCAATGTCTCTGCCCTTTTTCTCAATTCCAGAGCATACTCCATCCCATTCAGCAACAAATATAATTTAGAAAACATTAGCAAACAATGAAATTATGTTTCTTAACTACTTATTACTTGTCATGCACTGAGTTAAACACAGACTATCAAAAAAGATGAATTTAATCCTCATGACAGACAGTCCTGAGGTTAATGCTAGTATTTTTTACTTCATATATAGGTAAGGAAACTGAGGCTGGGCAAAATTAGGTGATCACACATCTATTAAATGGTAAAATCAGATAACATGAGTAGTTGAGGCAACCATAAGACTAAGTTCTTTCCAAAACTAGGAATTTGACTGCTTAGATACTGCAGGAAGGAAGCCCTGGTGTGTAAAATATTAAAATATTAGCAGTCTTTACAGTAATAGTAGTGGCTCCGTGAGAGTAATGGTTGTCAACCCTTTGTACCTTTCAGGCGACTCACACAAATCTGCCATTTATACTTTGTTGTACAATGTTGTTCTATGTATAGCATTACAGGTCCTTGTCCTACCAGAAATTGCATCAATCCTTATAATTAGCCAACTTACCTCTGTACATTTCCCCCAAGCCTTCACTGATTGCTGGATAAAAATAGCAGGAAGGGAGGTGTGGTGGTACATGCCTTTTGCCCCAGCACTCAGGAAGTAGGGGCAGGCAGATCTCTGAATGGAGGTCAGGTTAGTCTACAAAGGGAGTTCCAGGCCAGCTGGGGCTCTAGGAAGACCCTAGCTCCAAAAGACCAAAAGAAAGAAAGAAAGAAAACAAACAAAGGAGAGGCTGGTACATACCTGTAATTACAGTACTGGTCTGAGGCAGGAGAATAAGGAGGATTAAGAGATCAAGTTTAGCCTGGGCTATATAGTCAGAGTCTATCTCAATTTAAAAAATATATATAGAAAGAAAACTCAGGAAACAGTTGACATTAACTGGGTATCACATACCAGGTACTCTACTCAATGTGTTCCAGCATATTCATTTAGTTCTCATAACCCTGTTAAGAGGTACATACCATTCCACAGGGGTGGGCCCTGATGCTCAGTACATCTAAGTAACTTAACCAAAACCACAGCCTATTTTGAAACCAACAGTCTAACTCCAAAACTACACTATTCTGGGTCAGTCTCATAAGCCATAGTGGTATATTAGGTATGGCTTTTCCTTCGTTAAGGAGCGTAATTCAGAAACTATGAATTCTAAGTAGAAATGAGGGAGAAGAGAATGTTGTTGAACCTAGGGATCCATGAGCTTCCAGGCTGGGACTGAGAGGCCACAAGTGCAGCGCCTTAATGATATGATGTGAACAGATCTATCTCTTAGAAATGTTTTGAGCATGTGTATATATTTACATGGGAATAAGACAGCTGTATTATGCTGTGTGCATTTTATGTATAAAACGTTTAGTGTTCACTAGGCACCAGGCATCATACAACTAACTATTTGACACTATCTCATTTCAGCACATAGATGATGGGGCAGGGTGTGTCCTGTATGATATGTGGTGAGCTGGCGCCTGTGCAGCACAGTGCACAGGAGCTGATGGGTGTTGGACTGTGCTTGATGAGAGAGGTCCACTAGGATGTGTGTCCAGAGCTACTGTTGATGCTGTGGCATAGATAGTGGATTTTTGAGGCTGGGAGAAGGGTTATGCTAGATGATCTGTGTACAATGCATATGGGGGGGGGTGCTACCTGGGAAAGACGTTGTGGTGCACCGCGCTTGCGCGTGCGTGTGTGTGTGTGTGTGTGTGTGTGTGTGTGTGTGTGTGTGTGTCCGGTAGTGCTAAATACTGAAGCAGCTCCAAGGGAAGGGATCTAGGGGCCTATGCATGGTGCGTGCTTTATGTGTGGAGTGGTGTTGAAAGCAGTGCAGTCATAAGATGATTCATGCAGTGTGCTGGGAACAGACTGGGGATGGAGGGGTTGCAGAGGAGGGCGCCCGTGTAGTGACGTGTGCGAAGCAATGCAGTGCGAGGGGTGTGGGCGACTGGGCTAGGTGACCCGCATGGCTCCCGGTGTGGCCCGAAGCGCGGAATGGAAGAGAAGGCTTACAGAGGTGAGGGGCGGCAGGTGGGAACGAGGCTGTAAGCCAGTCGGCAGGCGGAGGAGCTGCGTGGGCGGTGTGTCTGCGAGTGTGGAGCAGCTACTCGCTTCCTCGCCCCACGCCACCCGGATTACCCTCCCCGCCACAGCTTCTCTTCCCTCCGCCCTCCGGCGGGCGCGCCCAGACCTGCCTCACCTGGTGAACGCAAAGTACATGAGGCTGACGATGGTGAAACTGAGCAGGGTGATGGTGTGGGGCCGGTAGAAGAAGTCTATGGTGATGTCCTCTACTTGCTGCTCGTTGATCATCCGGAAATGCATCCTGTAGTTCACATCATCCTTGCTCAGAGTCCGGCTCCCCACGCAGGACGCCATGGTCCTCCTCCCCGTCCTGCCGCGGCGGAGCCCCGGCCCGTGAAGGCTGGGACCCCGGGGGTGACGAGCCGCGGCGGGGAAGCGGCCGGACTGCGGGACCCGGTCTAGCGCCCAGCAAAGGCTGGGAGCAGAGGGAAAGACAGGCGCGCGAGGGCGGGGCCGGGCGCCACCACCGCGGCCCGGGGCGGGGGGAGCCGGCTGCAGGCCGGGAGGGCCGGCGCTGCAACTTCGCGAGGCGCTCGGCGACCCTCCAGAGCCGCCAGGGGACGAGGCTTGAGGGACGCAGCGAGCGACTGTGTGGAGCACCCGCGACCCAGGCCAGCTGTGTCCCCGGCCGGCCTCCCGGCGTCCTCCCCACGCTCTGCGAAATGGTCTGGCCCACTCCTACCGCAACCCACGTGGGTCGCGGAGCAGGGCGGTGCGGAGCCCGGCGGTCGGACCCGGGTGTGCGGCGCTTCTACGAGGTTAGTGCCACCCCGCGGGCTCCGAGGCGCCGCTGACTTCGAAGACGCCCAAGCTTTAGCCCCGGGAAAGCCGGAGCCCCCGGGCCTGAGGTCGCAACCCGGAGGGCACGAAGTACGGCCCACCTCACCCAGGGGCGGCCGGAGCCTCGCGGCCTGGTAGGTGTCGGTGGCCCGGAGAAGAGGGGTCAGGCTCCGTCGGTGTGTGTCCCTGAACCGTGTGATGGAAGCGCACCGGGCTGGTGTGTCATCCGTTTAGAAGCCCGGTGTGTAACCGGCTTCCTGCGGAAGTTCGGTTTGGGGACCTAAAACCGGGTGGGTTAAAATGGCCTAGGGAGAGCGACCGCATTATTGGTGAGGCCCTTTATTATGAAGCCGCCCCTGTGAACTCATCCCCGTAGTTCAGTACCAGTTTAGAGGTCGAGATCCTAGTCCCAAAAAGACTGCTTTTCCTGTTCCTAACGCTATAAGTACTACACAACATAGGGGAGAGCTAGTGTACGGTATTTTAACGGACTAATTTAGAGACTAAGGGTGCTTTCTTTCATGTTCCTGATGTGCCCGCGCAAATGCCTTACTCGCTTTTGAGTGCGATGTGTGCGTGCACCTGTCCTGGTTTAATTTCCTCTCCACAAGCATTGCAGCCCTCCCTGAGGCTCTAGCTTGGTGGAGAGACATTGAGAGGATGCGTCCAGAGAGGAGGAGGAGACCTGTTTTTCTTCTGCATTAACCTTTACTAAGTTAAGATGTAGATACAAATGAAATGGTAATGTAAGGGGATTGCACAAATTAAAATGGAGGGTAAACAGAATCTACCAAATGGGGAAAGGATTCTGGAGAGACTCCTGAGGGAATTTGGGTTTGGGGAAGTTGGCTTGGAAGTACCAACCAAATATCACACGTGCTTAGACAAACTTTGAAATCTAAAATGTTAAGCATTAATAAGCCCTGAGAATCAATTTATTGTAACATCTCCTTCACAGAAAATATTTTGGGGCAGAGAGTGAAGTCCAGGTGAAACTACAAGTCTCTGATTCCATCTCCAGCTCAACACAAAAAGGATAGTTACTGAGCCACCATCACAGGCTAGAGTAGCATGTCCAGATTTTTGATGTTGCTGTAGGATGTTGTCATCTACAAAGCTGGATGTGGAGAACCTAAATCTAGCTACAGAGGAAAGAAAAACAAACATCTCATGTTTTAATTAAGTTTATGACTTCACTGGGCTATAATCAACTGTCTTTGGCTGCATGTGACTGTGTGTTGGACATGCCTGGTTGTGCCAGTGCATCTCAAGAAGCTTGTTCTTGTCAAGATAGTAGCTAAGCACCCACTTTGATGTACTTATGACTACAGTGCAGACCAGAGGAAGTTTAAGGAAAATTTTGACAAGTTTGGAAGTTAGTTTTTCACCAAAATGTGAAAAAACTTACCTATCCCACATGGCTATCCAAAACACCTCCTGTCTCAGATCACTTCAGAATGAAAGTGACATTTACCCTTGTATAATTGTTTTAGCAAACTCCCCAAACTACATATCGCCAAGAGGAGATTGGATCCTCAAGTTCTGGGTCTCATTCAGGGCCTAAAACAAACAGAATTCCATTATGTAGCAAAACAAAGCACAAAGGTAAGCAACAGTTAATTGACAGTCACTTGTATTTTGCTGGCTAGTCAGTAATACTCATGGCCACCATTTTGCTGGATTCCAGGTGGATTTTATTGTTCCACTCATGCTCGCCTTGAACTTTCTGCAGTCCTTCTGCCTCAGCCTACCTGGTACTGGGATTACAGGTGCCAATGCCCTGCTCTCTATTTTATTTAGATTATCTTGAGTTAGTAGTATGTACATCAAGTTTACCTTTCTAGTTCTTCAGTAGTCTTGAAGTTTGAAGTAGGAACAAATATTTTGTGTTGAAATATATAAGTATTACTGGTCATTTCTTTATTACTTCTATTATATTTCTGGGGAGGGGGTCTGGTTTGCTTACTTGCTTGGGTTTGGGGGGTTTTTTTGAAACAGTTTCAGTACTTTAGTCTGGATGGCCTTGAACTTTCAGTGCAGCCTCTGCCTCCTAAGAGCTGGGGTTACAGAAGGCATGCACTGCCATGGCCAACTACTTGCTATTTTGACCTTTTCTATTTGAAAGCTGTTTTTCTTGAAACGGAATTTGACCAAACAAGTTTTGTTGAAGGCTCTTTTGAAGAACTGTGAGAAGTAATCAACAGTTTCAACTAAAGAAGCAGCTTTCACTGTTCTATGTAGCAATGATACTAGAATTGATTTAAGACTATGGGTTTCTTTCTGTTTATTTTGTGACTAATTTATGTACATAAAATATATTTTAATAACCCAGTATTATTTTGATCTACTATTTCCTAAATGCACTTCAAATAAAATTCCAAGGATATTTAATTATATCACTGGGTCTGTTTAAGAGATCAAATTAATAATTGATTTGGTTCTATTGTAATTTAAACATTTATAGACTAGTTTAAATGTTTTTCTTACACCAGTGGTTTTGGTTTGAAATTTTAAAGTGTATCTTTATTTTTCCAGCTCAGAAATTTCCATCTTGATTGACGGTTGAGACTGCCTTTGCTTGTGGCTTTTCCTGTGTAAAAAGCAGTTCATTGCCTTAGTCATAGTTATTTAAACTTTGTTCTTTTAGAAACTGAGTTCCAGGTTATCTTTCTGCCTTTTGAATACTATTTGAACCATTTAAGTAAATTATTTTCTCTTTTCATGGTTGTATTTTTTCTTTGTAGGCTACTTTAAGAAAAAAATGGCCCTCATAGCCCAACAGATACCCAGATGGTTTCACACAATTAAATTGAGTAGCTTCATTAAAGCTGCACAGCTCATAAAACACTCTGTGTGGCCAGGAAAAATATTGTTGAATGGCGTATCTGCTCAGGCTCTGTTGCCCTCTGACAATTGCTTTCTCCAGTGGGGATTTAAGACTTTCAGGACTTCCTCCTCATGGACTAGTTCCCAGTCGGCCAAGTCAAGTAGGCAAGAGAGCAGCAGTCCTACCCAGAGTTCTCTCCTTCCTTCCATGAGTGAGCAGTCAGAGAAGATACCCAGCTTCCACTCTGAGCTGCCTTTAGAAGGTAATTCTGAACTTTGAAAGAAGTCCCTCTTTCACAGGTGGACATGCGTCCATGCTACTAGCCTATTTCAGTTCATAGTCTGTACCAGGCCAAAAAAAAACAAAACAAAACAAAAAACCTGTGTCAGTTTTGTTTGGTTAATTATGTTATATCTTTATTTTACTATATTTGTTGGCTAATATGTATAGATTATTTTATAGCTAAATGTGTAAAACATTTGCTTTATAAATACTTTATTATGTAACTTCCTTTGTGTTTTTAATTAGAATTAGGGTATAATATCACATTCATGTTTGGGGTGTCGAGTTTTGACATAAGCATTTAAATGTGTAATAATCTCCAAATGGGAACAGTTATACCTCAGCTTTCCCTTGAATTGCTTTTTGGTCACCCATCTTTGTTCTGTGCTTCCTATTCTAGGAATTCAGTGTTATGCCACAGAGCAGGATAATCATTAGTAGAATGTGAAAGAATGTTGGAAGGGGAGGCAGGGAGGAGAGGCTGGCTATGAAAAATGATAGTTAACAATTAGAGCAAAACATAGAAAAAGAAATCATAGTCTTGAGTTTCTTAAAGTTACAATTTCGAATGTCTTCCATACCGAATTGTATTAAAAAACAAAACCTCTGAATCAAGGCTGAAGAGGATTACAAAGGATTGCAGTTGGAAAGAACAATCATGGTTTCTTAAAGATGTTTGAGGATAGCCTAGAGAGGAGGGCATTGGATCAAAATGAATAATTTCAGAATGTCATAACTTTGACCTATAGATTCAGGCTATTGAAATATGTCATGTTTTGGGCCAAGTTAACAAGCTGTGGTAAATCAGATCTCTCAGAATATGAAAAGCAGGTGATTTCTGATAAATCACTTCACTGTTGAGAAAAAGTGAAGGAAAAGAGTTGTGCACCTTAGCAAGGCATGGTGACTCACGCCTGTAATCCAAGTACTTTGGGAGGCTGAGGCAGAAAGATTACATTTACTGTCTCTAAAGAGAATGTCTTGAAACTTACCAACAAATTTCTTATCTTGGAGGAGCAGTAGTTGGGCTCTCTAAGTACTCTTAGCTTTGCGTCTTAGAGGATAGGGTATTTTGGAGCTCTTGGGGAGGGGGTATTCCTACTCTTGGCCCATGCTGGCCTCAAACTTGCTGCAATCTTCCTGCCTCAACCTGCCCAGTGTAATTCTGGGATTATAAGTGTGTATGACTTTGCTGGGCTTGGACTTCTTAAACATCTAACTCTGAAATTGTCTCAATATTTAACAAGCAGAAGGCACAAACTAGAGGAGATAGAATCTTCATAGAAATAATTTTAAGTATGTACATGAGAGTGCTGACTTGCTTCTCTCTTTCCACATGTCTGTCTTCGAAGAACTGGATGACTTACCTTCAGTGTCTCCATTGCAGCAAATTTCTGAGGAGGAGGCAATTCAGATTATTGCACACCCTCCATTGCCCCCAGCCTCATTCACACTTGGAGACTATGTGGATCATTCTGAGACACTGCAGAAGCTAGTGCATCTAGGTAAGTTTCTGGCCTACCAGTACATCTTTGCTGTGCTCTTTTATCTTCTTGCCTTACATTTTAAAGTAACATTTGATCTGATTCGATTTTTTTTTTTTTTTTGATAGTTTGCTGAGACAGTCTCATGTTGCCCATACCAGTCTTGAACTTGCAATGCAGTTGAGACTGGTCTTCAACTCCCGATCCTCCTATGTCCACCTCCTGAGTGATGGCATTACAGTCATACATCAGCACACACAGTTTAAATTAACATTTTAATCCTTACGAAAGTGGTAACTGTAAGTGAGCAGTGGTCGAATACTGTGCAAAGGCCTCTAGTGGAAAACTCTGTTCTCTACTTCATCCTTCCTGACTGTGCATCTCATCGCCAGAAATGTATACCAAATGTTTTTCACTTGGTTTTTACTTAACTTCCACAGCTTAAAAACAATTGTTTACAATGCTGCTGCCTGTTTTCAGCAGATTTAGATATCAGCTATCTCTGATATATACATACATACTTTTCTGTATTCCCTTGTTCCCAAGGTATTAGACAAACCATTAGTTGGTTATGAGTGTTGATAGCTAATCTAATAGAAAATGTACTGTTATTTTCCTTCCTGTACAACTTTTTAGTTGCCTTGCTTTTTATTCAATTATTTTTTCTTTACTGCTACGGTTAAATTTTACCATATTTTCTACCCTTTCGGAACAGTTTTTGCAGTCAGCCCTATCAGTGATATGTTATTCCACTGACCACATTGACTTATGGTGCGCTGCTGTCTGTCTGTCCTGTTACCCCTAACCTTCCTCCTGGAAGGTCCTGCTCTGGTTAATTCTCAGCCTGTACTATAACCATCTTAGTATCTTGATTTGTAGGTTGCCTTGGATTTAGGTAAAGGAGCCGGGGAATTTCACTGCAACTTTCATTTGGTCTTGTTTGTAATTTAGTGCCTTACTGTTTACTGGCCTTCCTGTCTTCCACTGCCTGGCTTGGCACTTCCATAACTTGATTTTTCAACAATGACCCTCTTTTCTCTTGAGTTGAGAGGCATAGAATAGGTAAGAGCCTGAGGAATCTCCCCATGTAGTCATACATAGTCCCCTAATTTTAGCCTGTACCTCATCTTGAACATCTTAAATCTCTAGGAACTCCAATTTCTAAGCCTTTGAGTTTTTTGTATTACATACTGAGTATCCCTTATCCAAAATGCTTGGAACCAGGAGTGTCTTGAGATTTGGGGTGTTTTTGTATTTTGGAAGAATGCTTGCATCGACTACCTGTTGAGCATCTCAGATCCAAAAATCCAAACTAAAAGTGTTTCAGAGTTTGGCATGTTGGGTTGGGGCTGAGCACCCCGTTCTAATCAGCTTTCTCCTTTCTCCTCTTCAATCAGTCTTTCCCTGTGTTCTCATGTTGTGCTTTGGGGATATAGATCAATCTCGTTTCACCAAAGAAGCTCCTCTTTGTTTCTCATTCTCCATATTTTGGGTGGCTGATTTTTATCAGAAGAAAAACTGTGCTGTGCTAGAGTCCTTCAGAGGCTGTCCTTAATTTTTGCTTTCTTCCTTCCCTCCTTATATCTGCCTCACTCTGTGGATTCCACCTTCCATGTCTCTAGTCTGTCTGCTGTCACCCTGTATCACCTTCTTTAGGAGCTCATTTCTCACTGAACAACTACAAGTGCCTTTTAACTTCATAATTGAAACAGAGAGAGAGAGAGAGAGAGAGAGAGAGAGAGAGAGAGAGAGAGAGAATGAATATATACATGTGGAAGCTAGAAGGCAACTTTTTTGTTTAGTTGATTGGTTGTTTTGGTTTGGGTTTTGAGATGGGGTCTTTCCCTTGGTCTGGAACTTGCCAGGCTAATTGGTCATTGAGCTCCAGAGATCTGCCTGTCTCCCTATCCAGCACTGGGATTACAAGAGCATACCACCACTGTGCCTGCCTTTTTCTTTTTCTTTTTTTTTTTTTTTTAATGTTGTTTCCAGGGCTCAAACTAGGGTCCCCATGCTTACACTGTTATCTCCCCAGACTTGATAATCTTCTTTTCAGCTGAATTGGCCCTGGAAATTTCTGTAGTGTTGTTTTCTATAATGCAAATTGACCATACCAGTTACCTGCTTGAAATCTTTCAAAGCTTTTCCAAAGCCTCAGAGCACATCCTGCTTTCCTCCTGCTTATCTTTTCAACTTTACCTCTTGATGCTTTTCTCCTTTGGTTGGCCAGCTCTGATAGCTGGAGAATGTAGCTCAAGTTGAAGCAATTTTTAAAGCGTGTTCTCTGCCTCTGCAGCCAGAGTGACTCACCTCACGGCTCGCCCTATCTATCTGTCTGTCTGTCTGTCTGTCTGTCTATCTATCTACCTATCTATCTATCTATCTATCTGCCTTTTTATTCCCTAGCACTACTGCCAGGGTATGGCAATCGTTTATTCCTCTGTCTCAGGCCTTGTTACTCACCTATTACCCAAGTGTATAGGGAATGGCCTTTGTTCTCCCATGTCCCAAAACATCTGAATACATGTTTGAGAATAACAGGAATGTAAGATGGAAGGTAAAATCAGAAGTCCCACACGAGAGATACAAATGAAGGCTCTTTAATCAACCCAAGTGTCAATGAGTTTTGAATGGTTAAGGAGAAAGTGTTCTATATATGCACAATGGAATACTAGTCAGCTATAGCAGAAAATGAAATGCTGTCATTGCCAACAACATGGACAAACCGAACCTTGAGGACATGTCCAGCAAGGCATATATCACTTATAAGTGAAAGTTGAAAAAGCCAAATGTACAGAAGCAGAGACTAGAAAGTGCTTATGGAGAGGAGAGGTGGCCTTGGGGAGATGTTGGTCAAAGTGTACAAAGTTTCCATATGGATTAAGTTCTGGAAATCTATAGTCAGTGTAGCATAGTGACTATAGTTAATGTGCTGCATAATGTACTAAGAGTATACTTTAAATGTTAGCTAAAAGGTACATGTAGAGCCAGGGATGGTGGTGCATGCCTTTAATCCCAGCACTCGGGAGGCAGAGACAGGTGGGTTCTCTGTGAGTTCAAGACCATCCTGGTCTACATAGTAAGTTCCAGGCCAGCTGGGACTACAGGGAGCCCCTGTCTCAAAAAGGTACATGTGATGATATGTTAATCAGCTTTTTTCAGCAATGTTGACATACCTGAAACATCCATTGTACCCAAGAATATATACAGTTTAAAAGATGTTCTGTAAGTTCAAAGGTAAGAGATATCATCTGGTACTGCTGGGAGCAGGAGAGTCACTTACCTTTGCTTTCAGAGCAGCTTTCCTGGCCTAGGGCAGGAGATCTGGGTGATGAATGATAAACTGAAGATGTGGTCCGTACTGTTAAATAATTTACAGTATACTTAGAGCTCTGGAACATGTTTGAGCTTTTCTTCTGTGCTGATAACCTTCATAGCATGTCTCAGAAGTATCTTTAAAATGACAGTAACCAGAGGAGCCACCATTGCCTCAACAAGCAATGTTGATGTTTTGAGTAATCAAGTCTTAGTCCTTTTCTGTTGCTTTACAGATGTTTTCTGCCTTTCTCCACCTGCTCTGTCCCAGGAGGCCAGCCCTGTGCACACAGGCTCCTATGCTAACTGGCTTCTAGGCAGTAGGAGCATCTGCAGAATAAAGGCCAGAAGGGCCAGGTAGGGCCATTTTCCCCGTTCCCACAGTTCTTTGGGTCCTGTAACTGCTCTCTCCATGACAACAGCTCCTCCTATGCAGCCCTTTCTTAGTAGCTTACAGCTCCCTCTGGGCTCTGGGAAACAGTCTGCCTGTCTCTGGTGCTAGATGTGCTTTTGTGCGGTCCTTTAACTCTATTCATGCTGTTTGGACTCTCTAGAGCAATGTTTACTGCTTGCCAGACCCTGCCTGATGACTGAACAGGTATGACAGTAATAGAATGCAAAGATAATATCTACGAGGTGAAGGCTTGCTCATTTTTATCCCCAGTGCTTAGCAGAAGTGTCTGGTCCACTGGGATTTCAGTGGCTCTTTTTTCATTTTAATGAAATCCTGAGTGAGCCTGGTGATTTGGCTGAGCACTGTGCTTTCCTGATGAGACTGCTCTTCCACTGCTGCTAAGTGCAGCTCTTGAATGTTTCTCCTTGTACAGCCAGGGCATGAGAGCACATGCTGAGCAAGCCCCCTCAAAGCCTGAAACTCTTTAACAGTTGCTTAAATTTGAAGTCCTTTAGGCTAGTTTCATAGCTACCTTTCCCATTCATCACAGATTTTTGACACTGGTTTCCATCTTTTATTTTTTAATTGAATTTTTTGATTTATACAGTATAGTTTGGTATTGATCCTCTATCTACACCCCCCCCCCGTGGCCCAATTTAATGTACCCATGTGTATGTGTATATCACCTGTAGAGTCTGATTTGTGCCCCTAAATGTACACATAGCTAGAGTGGTCATTGCTCCTAGAGAAAAACCTACTTTTCCCACATCCCTAGACCACCGTAATTTCTTGCTTTATTCTAAATATGTATCCTCATATTTACAGACAAGTGTACCTTTCACCCCTCATCAAAAAAGCTTTTTGAAATAGATGGAGACTAATACAGAGTTCCAGAACTGGTCAAACACAGAGAATAAGTGTCTGTGAGACACTTAACCCTAAGTGTCACACATCTTCAATACAACCTTTTTACATAGGACATAGGCATCTCTCAATTCTCACCAGAAAAGTTTTCTTATTTTTTTTATCCATTCATGATTGGAGTTGTTTTTCTGTTGTTGTTAAACAACAAAAGAATTGCATATGGGCGTGGTGGCACATGCCTTTAATCCCAGCACTTGGGAGGCAGAGGCAGGCGGATCTTTGTGAGTTCGAGGCCAGCCTGGTCTACATAGTGAGTTCCAGGCCAATGGGGCTACAGGGAGTCCCTGTCTCAAAAAGACCAAAAAAAAAAAAAATTGCATATAGTTGATAAAAGTTCAACTATTACAAGAGATAAGCCTTGCTTCCTCTCCCACTTCTCAGAGGTGACTGATGACCAGTATTATATAGCTTTCTAGACCTTTCCCTTTAAAAACCATATGAAAAACTATCCATAGGCTTTTGATTTTTCACTAATTAGTATTTCTTAAGTTCTTTGTTTGCTTCAGATAGCGTTAGTACATATTTTGATTCTTAATTTTTATAGAAAACACAGAATGCATTTTTAGTTTCATGATCCATTGGTCTTTTCCTTATTGATCTGAAATGCCATTATTACTGTACAGTGAATTGTTTTAGTTCATTCTGGGTCTGTTTCTGATCTCCATTGTGTGTTTGTGTATGTGTGTTATATAAGTGTGCTTTTAATCTCTGCTTAATAACAACAAATTTAGATTGGAATTCTATCTGGGTCTACTCCTTATGAATTAGAGTGAATGGATATGATAATTTTTCTGACTGTGAACCATTGAGGACAGACTTTTTCTTTCATTGTTTTTATGTATAGGAGGACTGTAAATGAGCTTCTAGAAGTCATTTTAGAAGGCAGCTTTTTTGTGTGTTGTTTTGTTTTGTGGTACTGGGGATTGAACATGAAGTCTTACGTGTACTGGGCAAGCACTCTGCCACTAGACTATAGCTTCAGCCCTTTTTTATTACAGGGTCTTGATGAGTTTCCCCAGATGCTCCTGAACTCACCATATAACCCAGGCAGTCCTCAAACTTGTGATCCCCTGCCTCAGCCTTCCAAGTAGCTGAGATTATAGGAGTAGCCACTGGACCCAGACAGGAGTTATTTTTAAGCTGACAAAATTTTTTCTTGGTTGTTTGAAAAAGCGTTTCAAACAAATTTCTTGGTTTGAAAAAGGGTTTCCTTGTAGCCCCAGCTGGCCTGGAACTCACTATGTAGACCAGGCTACATAGTCTGCCTCTGCCTCCAGAGTGCTGGGATTAAAGGTGTATGCCACCATGCCCAGCTTTTTAAGCATTTTTATCTGATTAAAGGGAAAAAATTTGAGAATTAAATATTCCACTCTGTTTTGGTGAAAAATTTGAATTCCAGGTTATTTCAGTTCCCTTCCTGATCAGTGCTGAAATCTGAAAGCAGGGTGCTTTCAAATGACAATGTGATTTCTGCTTTTTTTTTTTTTTTTTTTTTTTTTTTTTTTGTTTGCTACCTCTCTGTTATTCTCTCATCCACTTAGATTACCTGAGATGATGAGGTAGTAAGCTCATGAAGGTTGTATGCTTCTGCTTTGTTGGGTGCTGGAGGCCTCTGTGTTCACCTGTTCTCATGCAGAAAAATTTGTAGGCTCCTACAAGGTACTGTGTCTATATTAAAGCTATGGAGATGCCCATGTTGATACTGGTATAGGGTCAGCTTAACCCTCCATGAAGACAATCACAGGCATGTTCTTTAAATAGTGCTCTTTTAATTAAGAAAATGATTCTTTAAGAGAAACTGAAAAGAAAGTTAAGAGTTTATCTATAGAGTACTCCACAGAGCTCCTGGATGAGCAGTTGCTATGGGGATCTGGATGGGCTCACATGCATCCTTTAAACATTATCCAAGAACCTGATAGACAAACATGATGGTCTGGTGTCAGTATTATTTGGTGAATTTGTCTTTGGGAAAAATTTAACCACCAGTGCTCTTGTTTTCTTCTACACTTGCCTTTGAAATGAATACTATAATTTTGTTATTTCTGCAACTAGTTTCATTAAAAAATATTTAAGGTTTCTATTTGTCTCTCAGTTCTCCTTTGAATAGATTGATGATTCATCATAATTTCTTGTGCGAACTTGATGACTGAATAAGTTGTCTTCAAACTGTACTTCCAATTTATTATAGGAGTGGATTTGTCCAAGATAGAAAAGCATCCAGATGCAGCCAACCTTCTTCTAAGACTGGATTTTGAAAAAGACATTAAGCAAATACTCCTATTTCTCAAGGACTTGGGTTTAGAAGATAACCAACTGGGAACATTCCTGACTAAAAATTATGCTATTTTCTCTGAAGACCTTGAAAATCTTAAAATCAGGTAAAGTTTTAAAACGATTCTTACATAATACATAGAAGTGCTCATGAGAGAAATACATGTGTGAGAAATGTTTCTTTTTTAAAAAAATATTTTATTATTTTTATTTTATGTGTATGAGTGTATTGCCTGCATGTATGTGAGGTGCAGTACCGCGGAGGTCAGAAGAGAGCTTCGGATTCCCCTGGAACTGGAGTTAAGGACAGTTTGTAGCCACCATGTGGGTGCTGGGACTCGAACCCGGGTTCTCTGCAAGAGCAGTCAGTGCTCTTAATCGCTGAGCCATCTCCCCAGCCCCAAGTCTCTGCTATGTAAGGACCTTTTTGGATTCTGGATCTCACTATGGCTTTGACTGGCCTTGAATTCATGATCCTCCTGCCTCAGCCTCCCTAATGCTATGATTATAGATGTGTGCCACCCTGTCCAGTATTTGTAAATTTTGATGGCAGACATTAGACATTCTCTTAGAAAATTATATATACTTTTCCATAAATTGACTATTTTGGTGTTTTTTTAATCTTTAAATGGCACTTGTATAAACATCTTTGTGCTTTATTCATCATTCAAAGAAACCTTGGATCTGTGAGAACCTTTACAGTGAGATATGTTAATGTATTAGTCATTGTTATATGACCAAGAGCAAGACAGTCCCGTTACAAGTTAACATTGTTAACTTTGTCACTCCCCTCCACTGAGTGGGAGCACCACCCTGTTTATTACCCAGTCAGAACTATCACTAGTAACTGGATTCCCTTTTTTGGCATCCATGTCTAGTAAAACACCAAGACCCATCAGTTCACCTTTCATATCTTAATCTACACCCCCAGTCCCCATTATTCCCTACCTAGGTAGCTGTACTAGTCTCCTAGTTGGGCTGCCTCATCTTGATCCCTCTAGACTGTTCACTGGTATTGAGCCTACATTTCAAAGGGCTTGACAGTTCCTTGAGCTATTAATAGACTAATGCCTTTTCTCTGTATTAGAGAAAAAATGAAACAAAAAACCATCTGTATTTCTTACATTGAAAAGCTTGTGACCTTATATGTTTAAGACCCTGGGCTAGGCATCAGATTTAAAAGACATGCTCTCTCCCAGTATAGGACTTAATAGTCTCATGTGATATAGACAGGCTCTCATAGGATAGGGAAAGAGTGATACCAGCATGCTGCTCCTGGCTATAGGAACACAGATTCCTTCACCATTCAAAAACCAGCTTGCTTTCTTGCTCCAGACTTATTCTGAGAAAGTGGTGCATGGTTTTCAGAGGTTGTACTGTGATTATTACTGGCCTCTTTACACATAGAAGCATAGAGAGAATCCTAGATGAATATAGTTAGTATAAATGGCAGAGCTAGGATTCAAACTGAATTAGTTTTAACTCCAGAGTCCTGACTACTGTATATATTATCTCCCTGCATTTAATTCTGTGAAGAAAACCTATACGCTGAGGGAGCATAAGTTACTTGCTCAAGTTTCTGTTTGCTCCTGACAACTGAGAAATGTTTACTACTTAGGATTTTTATAGATATTTTTCATATTCACAGGATATCTAATGAGCAATAAGCGGCTACTAAATTGGCAAGAATATGATATTTAATTAAACTTAGATTCTGGCTTTGCTATACATAGCGGCCTTGTTTTCTAAAATTTCTATAATAGCACCAATTTCATGTACTTAACTTTTCAATAAAAAAATTAGTGTGTAAAAATTAATCCTTTGTAGAAGTTTCAAATGAATAAGCTACATGTAGATTATGTAAATAATTTTTTGCCAGGCATGGTTTTGCATGGCTGTATTCACAGCACTTGAGAAGCTAAGGCAGGAAGATCAAGAGGTCAAGGCCAGCCTGGACTGTATAGTAAGGATTGTGTCTCAGAACCAAAATATCAGGCTAGGGAGGTGGCTCTATGGATAAAGTGCTTGCTATACAGGCAAGAGGACCAGAGGACAAATCTCCAGAACCCACATAAAGCCAGATGAGGATGTAGTAACTGTATATCTGTAATTGTAATGCTGGCAGGCCTACAGCAAGAGAGGCAGAGATGAGAATCCATCAAAGCATGTGGACCAGCTATCCTGGGCATACCAGTGGTAAACAACAGGAGGCTGCCTCAAAACAGGGTAGAAGGACAGCCTGAGGTTGTCCTCTGACTTCCACATATGCACCAAGGCACGTGCAGGATTCCCATCTCCCACATATACCATATACACACAGCAATGATAATAATTTTTAATCTACCCCTTACTATATTAGTAGAATTACTTTCTATTTTCAGGTAAGTAGAAACCAACCTTTCAAAATTTGGTGGGTGTTCCTAGAATTCACCCATATTTGGGCTATTATGACAGAATATTTTTCTTTACTTTCTTTTTTTTCCTGATGTAGGAGCCTTTTTAAAAACCATTACTTTGAAAAGTAGCATGATGTATGCTAGTCATAATGTATGCATATTTTCATCATTTCTCTAGTAAATGTTTCTCACATACATGTGTATTTCTGTTTATTTCCCCAGGGTGGCTTATCTTCAGTCAAAAAATTTCAGCAAGGCTAATATTACACAGATGGTCAGTAATGCACCATTTTTGTTGAATTTTTCAGTGGAAAGACTGGATAATAGATTGGGATTTTTTCAGCAAGAACTTGAACTTAGTGTGAAGAAGGTAAAAAAAAAAAAAAAAAAAAAAAAAAGAGCTACATTTTCCTGTTTAGTTACTGGTCTATATAAATCTTTGACATACAAAAATGAATTGCCCTGCTAGGTTAAGCATGACGCTCCATCATTTGAATGTTTCAGCAAGTTGCTGTCTTAAATTTTGTTTTCAGTATTTTTAAATTTCCACAATCCCTGTCATTTCTCTGTGTCATGTTTTTAGCTTCATATTCTTTGTAATGTTTTAGTTTTCCAAGCTAGTTAAATGTAGATATATGATAACATTAATTATTTATATTTGTAAATGCAGACTAGAGATCTGGTTGTTCGTCTTCCAAGGCTACTAACTGGAAGTCTGGAGCCTGTGAAAGAAAATTTGAAGGTAGGACATCTTCAGGTTTTAGAGAAACCAGTTTCTTTATTCTTAGAAGATAATAAATTTTGTTGTTGCCATAAAGAAAACTAGAGTTTAAAAGAAATTATTTCTATAAAGTCAGAAACTGAAGATTATATAATAATTCTCTCGCAGGAAGTTTTGGTCAGTGGTTTTGCACATGTTATTCAGGTGCTACCTTACTGTATGTTCTCTTTGTCAGTTTGGGGGATTATTTTCTGTGTAATTAGAATCTTTTTCAGGAACCCTGTCTCTGCCTATATTTTGAAGCGTTACTCAAGCAGTTTCAAACTTTTAGATCTTAAAATTATTGATCCATTTTGAATTAATTTTTGCAGGGTGAGCTATGGTTTCTAATTTCATTCTATAAGTGGACATCTAGCTTTCTCAGCAGCATTTGTTGAAGAGGCTAGCTTTTTTCTAATACATATTTTTGCCAGAAGAAGCTTTTGAATCCATTGGAATTGGAGTTCTAGGCATTTGTGAGCTGCCTGACACGGATGCTGGGATCCCAACTTGGGTATTCCTGATTGAACAACAAGTTCTCTGAACTGCTGAGGCCATCTCTCTAACTACAGGAAACATATCCCAGGCTGCCCACAAATGAACATGCTGTGTAGCTAAAGCTAGCCTTGAACTCCTGATCCCCCTGCCTCTGCCTCCTAAGTAGTGAGGTTAAGATGTGATCTAGTATACCCAACTGATTTTTTTGCATTTCTTAACACTTTATGACCTAGGATGTGATCTATCTTAGAGAAGGTTCCATGGACGTTTAACACAAATGTATATTTCATTTCTTAAGGATGGAATATTCTGGAGATATCTGTTAGGTTCATTTGGTGTATGGTGTATTTTAACTCTGACGTTTCCCTGTTGATTTTTAGTTTGGATGGCCTGTTGAAGGTGAGATTGAGATGCTGAAGTCATCCATTGTTATATGCCAGGACACATAACAATGTCATACCTTTAATATTCATTAGTGGTTTATGATATTGTAATCCCATATACTACTCAGTGCATGTGTATTTATAATCAGTATGTCTTCCTGATAGATTTTTTCTTTTATTAGTATTTAGTGATCTTCCTTACCTCTCCTGACTTACCTTGGTTTGAAGCTTACTTTATCAGATATCAGAATCGAAAAGCCAGCCTGTTTTCAGCTTCTATTCGCTTCACAGATTGACTTCCATCCTTTGACTTTTAATCTGTGGATGTAGGTCTTCCAGTGAAGTGTATTTCTCGGAGACAAAAAGCAGCGAGGTTGAGCTTTTTTTTTTTTTTTTTTTTTTTTTTTTTTTTTTTTGTATTTTTGAGGCAGGGGACTCCCTGTATCCCCAGCTGACCTAGAACTCTCTGTGGAGACCAAGCTGGCCTTGATCTCACAGACATCCACCTCCCAGTGCTGGAATTAAAGGGATACAGCACTACACCTGGCTGGATCTAGCTTTTTAGTTCAATTAACCAGTCTGTGTCTCTTGTTTGGTAAGTTGATAGTTACATGTAAGGTTATTACTGAGAGATGTTTATTGAGCCCTATAATCTTGTTAGTTGATTGAATTGTTGTTTGTTCTTTTCTTTCTCCTTCATTAATATTAGGGGATTGCTAGTTTACTATGTTGACTATGATGGGTTCCTTTCTAGCTCTCCTTTGTTCAGCTGTTCTTTTCATGACATTTAATCTTTCCTGTGCTTCCCAAAGAAAATTTTCCACCCATATCTAGCTTAGTGAGCCAATGAAAAAGTTTAATTGGGTTTACTTACAGGAGCATGGGTGAGGGCTCACCTACAGAATCATGGGCAACTTATAGGTGGCCGTACCACTTAAGAAAATAGCTACCTTTCACTCCAGCAACAGAAGGGTTGGGGGTCTCATGGGTCTAGTGTGCTACCTTATGAGCCTCTCTGGGATGGAGTATATCAGTGGATAATCACAGCTGCTGAAAGTTCAAGAGGGCAATGGCCATGGTGTGCCCAAAGGACAGCATTCTGCAATAAGTATTAGTAAAATAGTGTAAATGCATAATTAGTATATGGAGATGAATAAAATTCTAACAACATATTTTGAAAAATAAAGTAAAAATATTGCTAAAAGCATAATTAAAAAGGAGAAAAAGAGGGAGTACAAGGAACAAGAAAAAAAAAGGGTGACATGTTAGAGCATCTTTTTCCTGCGTCCTTGAAGACTGGAGACCAGCACTCATGTGCAGAGGGGTACAGGGTGTTCAGTTGAGCTTCTGGGCTACTGTTTTTGCTATGGCTTATGTGATATTGAGCCTACCCTGAACAAGTGTCTAATGTTCATCAGATCTGACTTCTACTTTAACGAGTTTCCCTTCTTTGTGTACCAGAGGGCACTGGTGGCCTTACTTAATTTTGTAGTCTGTAAGTTAGGTAGATTCTTCACCTTCTCAAGACTCCACAGCACATACCCCCTACCTCCCTCCATGTTGCCTACTTTTCTAGCTGAGTGTGTCTCCCAATTTTGTTGTGACTTTTGGAACTAACTAGAGCACTGAGGTCTTGTACAGGCACCAGACCTGTCTTGATGCTTTGAAGATCTCTTATGTACTCATCACCCAGCTGGAGAGGTGCAGCTGGAGGTGTCAGGTACACCTCTAGAGCTCCAGAGTTTCAGGTTGTGTAGGAGCAAATGGGAGATAGGTTCCAGAGGTCATGGGCTGTAGCAGATTAGATTCAAGCTCCCTGTCTTGCAGTTGTTCCCTGATCTCGAGCTCCCAGGGTTGCTAGCTCAGTTCCTAACAAGAGAGAGCTTGCGCCCCAGAGTACAGACTGACACAAAATAGGGTTCCTGTCCTTTGTTGACCCAGCAATTACTGTTTCACCACAACGTGCATCCAGTTTTGAGGCTTGTGTAGGCTGTAGGAGTGCCAGCCTCTTTTATCAGGGTCACCTAGCTTGCTCTCTGGAGGGGGTCTTTTGCTGCCCCTCCCCCTACTGGGTAACTAGAGCCATGTTCAGGTTAGCTTCTATCTAACTCATAATTATGTGGATTTTTCAGAGACCTTCATGGTGATCACCATGCTGAGAAACTCTTGGTTGGGAGAAGGGTTTGAAATTCAACTGACCTTAGAAGCACGCCTTTATAATCCCTTGAGGGCACTGACATAGCTGTCCCCGACACTTTCAAAATTCACTGCTTTAAAGATTTATTTTGCCGGGTATGGTGGTCTTTTAATCCCAGCACTTGGGAGGCAGAGGCAGGCAGGTCTTTGTGAGTTTGAGGTCAGCCTGGTCTACATAGTGAGCTCCAGGCCAGCTGGGGCTACAGGGAGATCCTGTCTCAAAAAAGCCAAAAAAAAAAAAAAAAAAAAAAAAAAAAAAAAAGATTTAGTTTTATTTTTGTGTATGAGTTTTTTGCCTGCGTGTATATAAGTGTACCATGTACATGCCTGGTACCCTCAGAAGCCAGAAGAAGATACCAGATCCTACGGAACTAGTGTTAACAGTTGTGAGGTGCCATGTTAGTGCTGGGAACCAAACCTGGGTCCTCTGCAAGAGTAGCTGGTGCTCTTAACTGCTGAGTCATCTCTCTACCCCCAAACTTTCATTACTTTGAATTTTAAAAGAAACAGTATATCCTCTGGCATAGTGCCAAAATCTTTCTACTCATGACTCAGTAAATTTACTTTCTTGTAGGTTTATCGTCTTGAACTTGGTTTTAAACGTAATGAAATTCAACATATGATCACCAGGATTCCAAAGATGCTAACTGCAAATAAAAAGAAGCTTACAGAGACTTTCGATTATGTGCACAATGTGATGAGCATTCCCCACCATGTCATTGTCAAGTTCCCACAGGTACACAGCTCACAACACTTTGTGAGTGCTGCTTTTGCCTGCACTTGGAGCTCCTGTTGGGTGCTGTTCTTAGTTGCAGGGCTCCTGAGAAGACTCAGGGTTTGTCTGTGTCCCCATTGCTTCTACTTCTCGTTTGCCTGCTAGAGTCAGGCAAAAGAACCAAAAGTTGTCTCTTCTCCACTTAAATTTTAAAAAATTTCTTCCCTTAAAAGTTTTTTGGATGCTACTTGTACTTTTCATTCACTCTACATAAAACCATAAGTTAAGCGATATTATAATGATTTCATACCAAAGCATAAACCAGTTCTAGTTTGCCATCCTGTCAAAGTCAGCATATTATCTAAGCTCATTAGATGTCCCTGTTCTTTACTTCCTGGGTGGCATTGTCTACTGTTACAAGAATACTGACTGTGAAAGCAGAGACCAGATCTGACTGATACATAGCCAGATCTCCAGTGCCCAGAACTATACCTGATACTTGAGCATGAAATAAATATTTGCTGAAAATAAATGATTAAATTTCATCAAAGCATTCCTTCTTCACGTTTGATCCAATTCATTCACATAGAGCTGTGTTTATTTGTCTATCATACTTTGGTCTGTAATATAGAATGTTGCTGGCATATTATGACAATATTAAAAGCCTAGAATTATATGAATGTAGCCTATGAAGCAAGTATAACTAATCTTCAACTAAAAAGCAATGAAACTTTGTTTTCTCTAAGATCATTAAGTAATTGAGAGTAGATTATAAGAGAATCTGGTTTTATCCCATCCAAGCTCAAGGGGTTAGCTATCCAGTATATAATGGAGCATTTACCCTAGGCTACACTGAGTGTGCGCATTATAAAAGAATATAGAAATCAATCCAATATGGCACGTATTCTTGGTGACTTTTAATCTAGTGTGCTATGCAGAGTTTTAAAATAAGGTTATATGATGGGAGAGTCTTAAACAGAAGACTGATAGGATTGTTTAATTCAGTAGAGAGGAGACAGAAAAATCCCAGAAATAATAACTATTGCATGCCTACTATATGCCAGCCAGCTCACTTTATGGCTTTGCTTGTATTGAGTGTTAGTATTCTAACAACTACAGGAGGTACTGTTACTATTCTTAAGAAAGAAAAAAATTCACTAAGTGACAAGGGGCAGAGCCAGGGGCAGAGCCAGATCCAGAACTCTAGCAACTGGAGTTTTAAAATGTACACTCCTTAGCAGGATATGCTGACACTCTTGATGTGGCATTTGTCAGTGCAACAGGAATAGAACTGAGGTGGAGAAAAGCCTTCAAAGTGGTGGAAGCCATATACAGTAGAGCCATTTGTTTAAAGCCCAGTTGTAGCAGCAAGATGGTTCAGCAGGTAAAAGTGATTGCTGCCAAACCTGAAAACCTGAGTTCATTCCCCAGAATTCACGTGGTAAAAAGAACTGTATGGAAAGTTGTCCTTTGACCTTCACACACACACTATAGCACGTGTGTGTGTGCATACACACGCCTAATAGATGTTTTTAAAAATTAAAGCCCAATCATAGAATTGTGGCTTCCAAATTGGGATTTTACAGACTTCTTGGGTCCTGGGGTAAGATTATTGAAAGCAAAATTTAAGCCTATTAATGGAAAATTATGTTTGGTAGTGAAACTGTGAGGGAACTGATAGAGGCTATATTTTTGGATAACTGTTTTAAAACTGAGTGGTGAGAAACTAGATTTCTCAAGTAGTTATAGTACTGGCTGACATGTACCTTATGGTTAAACATTAGGCAACTCTAACCTAAAGAAATCCTAGAAGGATAGGGAAATCCGTGTCAGGATGATGAGCATGGGAAATCACTAATGGAAGGAAGGAAGTTAACTCCCTGTCACCTCCCACTTTGGATTTCTTCTAGAGTCCACTGCAGGGTGAGAAGGATCAGAAATCCTCGGGGTAGGAGTTTTGTTTTGTTTTGTTTTGTCCCAGTCCAGTCTAACGTGAAATTTTTGTGACAATGGCAAAGTAGTTCTTGGTGGTCAGCAAATACTTCTTTATCCTAGCTTTCCTTTTTTGTAAAAGAGGGGAAAAAATTGAATTTGAATTGCAGCTTTTGGACACACAAAAGAGCACACAGTGTCAAATGATAAAGTAATTCTGAGGGCCAACACTTAAGGCACTAGAGCAAGTGAATCTGGAGTTCAAGGCCAGACCTGGCGACAGTGAATTCCAGGGAAACCTTGTCTTACAACTCAAAAAACAAGTAAGTAGTGACTTTGAGCCATATGAGAAGTAACCATAATATCTGGTCATAAGCTGTGTAAATTCTTCAAAGTGCTCTTATGTATAGGAAATAAATCATAGTTTTGGAACCTTGATTATTTTTGGTTTTCTTGTGTATGATAATTTTGTACACCAAGAGTCACTCCATAGTCATTGCGTAGGCATACTTGCAAAAACCATCCTAAGCGTATTAGATCTTCATTTGCAGTAATAATGTGCTAAGGGGAATTTAGTTACCTAAGTGAGGGCAGAATTGGATGTCAGTAGTTTTTTCAGAGACAAAAAAGATGCTTTGTTCCAAAAGCACACTAACCCCATGCTGAGTTAGCACCATGTCCTATTTTTGGTCACTGTTCTCAAAGCAAGTTAGTTTTCAACAGTTGTTTTTCATAGTGTCCTTTCCAAGTGCACAGTTAGCACTGTTTTCACTTGGACATTGGGAAAGAGACTTAGAGGTTGGTTACTGCCAATTCAGTCTCCTGTGGTGTCTGCAGTGCAGCCAAGAGAAGAGCTCCAGACCTCACATGAGTGGGTCATCTGGGCCTCTTAAGGAGTCCCAGACCGCTCTCCAGTTTGGGCCCTCCTTCCTCTAGTCCTCCCTTCTTTTTGCAGCAGCAGGCCCTGGGGACTTAGCCTGCTTCTGATTCCTGTGTCAAGTGGCTGCTACTCCCCTTAGTCCTTGGGAGTTTTAAACCAAGGCGAGTAAGGCACACATTCCCCCTGTTCAGAATCTGCTTCATTTTTAAATTCTAATTGGAGAACAGGAATTGAAAAAATCAAAAAAGACACTTTACAGATTTTTATTTTATTTATTTTCAGACCTAGATCCTGATCTCTAACATTGGTTCTCAAACTTGGCTGATAATCAGTCTAGAAAGCATGTCACAACAGATTTCTGGGCCCCACTCTCAGGTTTCAGATGAGGTGGTTTCAGGTGAAATCTAAGGATTTGTTCTTCTAACATTTGTTCTATTTACATATCTCTGGGCAGCCCATGTTCTCTGCCACCATCTAGTGTTTCATTATTGCTCTGTTGGGTTTTAGTCCCTTATAAATCCTATTTTGTTTGTTTTTGAAGACAGGCTCTTGCCTTATAGCCCAGGTTGTTCTGGAACTTGTTGTGTACTCAGACTAGCCTTGACCTTGTGATAGTCCTCTTGGGCTTACCAAGTACTCTGATTGCAGGCAGGCACTGCTATGCCCAACTTCTAATTTCTTATCTAATAATTTTCAGGGGTATGCTAGGAATCAAACCCAGGGTCCCCCATGTGCTAGGCATTTATTTTACAACTAAGCTACACCCTGAGCCTGTTTAATTACAATTACTCAACACAAAGTGTGAGCTTTAAGTCCTGTAGCATTAATCATATTTATTATATTTATTGAACATGTGGTCATTTATACTTGTTCACTTATTAAAATATTTAACCAATTTTTAATATTTCAGCTTTAATTATACAGCAGTTTTGTTTTGTTTTTTTCTCAGGTATTTAATACACGATTGTTTAAAGTTAAAGAAAGACACTTGTTTCTTACCTACTTGGGAAGAGCACAGTATGATCCAGCAAAACCTAACTACATCTCTTTGGACAAGTTAGTATCTATTCCTGATGAAGTATTTTGCAAAGAAATTGCCAAAGCTTCAGTAAAGGACTTTGAAAAATTCTTAAAAACTCTTTAGTTTTTTGATGACTATTAAAATGTTGTCTTGTGGAGGGAGGGAATAAAATAAAATGTCT